CGCTTCGACGGGCGACGGGGGGCGCTTCGACGGTGGGAAACCGCCGTGCGCCTCGGGGCGCACGGCGGGCAGAAAACCGCCGCGCGCCCCGAGCGCGCGGCGGGAAGAAAAAACGAACATCGCGCGCCACGGGACGCGCGACACACAGGAAGGCAGCGGAAGCAGGCGGGCCCACAGGCCAGGAGCGTAACCGCTCTGATAGCATGTCAAAATAGGAGCTAGAATCATGAGCCATAGCTAGGTAAACCCTAGCTAGGCAAGAGAGAAATGAGCAAATTAGAGTTTGCACTAGCAAGAATGGGGATACAAATAGCAAACCCTAGAAGGGTTGTACTCGCTATAGAGCACCCCACTACAGGCTAGAGCATAATATGCTGACAGCATAGGCGGGTGTGACTGTTGGAGTACGAGATGATCCAGCTGCAGGTGAACATGTTGGTAAGGCGGGAACAGCTCTAACCGGACGCAAAAAATCTAATCCGGTTAGACCCCGTGATACTGGCGCCGCGCCATCCTTCTCGTGAGCCATCATCCACCCGAACTTCACTACTAGTGCTGCTGCTACTCTAACAGCAACACTGCAAGGGTGTTGGATGGAGTGCTGTGCTACTTCTAAATGTCAGCATGAGAAACCCAGCTAGAGCTAGCTAGGCAGTCCAGAGGACGAGTTGCCTTGGCGGTGGGTGATGGGGTTGGCTTGGCTGGTGTAGCGGGGGATCGGAAATGTCAAGGGGAAGAGAACGTGCGAAGGCGGGAAACATACACGGGGGAAAATTTCACCGAAGACAAAAATCCTCGGGGAAAAAATTCCCCCCCGAAACGGAACAACACCCCCCCCCCCCCCCCCCCCCCCCCCCCCCCCCCCCTTCAAAATTCGCGTCAGGGCAGGCCTCGACATTCATCCTGACGCTTCAGGGAGGAACACTACGGCCATCCTGAAACTCCAGGGCATTTCACATAAAAACATCCTGTGACCTCAGGGTTAAAATTATGACTATTCTGAAATTGCAGGGTTAATACAGAACTGCATCCTGAATTCAGGGTAATCAGGATGTTTTGCCCTGATAACGTGGGCCCTGGTCGGAGCTGCAGAAGAGACACACGTGCACAGACCTGGGTGAGCTGCGCAGTTACCTTGGCTTGCAGATCACTCGGGACAGAGCACGCCGCACCATCACACTGACTCAGTCACACATGGTGCAGCAGGTCCTTCAGCGCTTCGGCTTCACCTGGTCCTCGCCACAGCACACTCCTCTGGCTACAGGTCACTCGCTCTCAGCTCCACCTTCGGACGAGTCCGTAGAGCCGAGTGGTCCTTACCCAGAGCTAGTGGGCTGCCTCATGTACCTGATGACCTGCACTCGTCCTGACCTTGCGTACCCTCTTGGCCTTCTCGCTCGCTACGTGGCTCCTGGTCGGCACCGACCTGAGCACATGGCTGCTGCTAAGAGGGTACTGCGCTACTTGTGCAGTACATCGGGCATGGGGCTCGTGCTTGGAGGACGGAGTGAGGTGGTCCTCACTGGGCACTCAGACGCGTCTTGGGTTGACGACCAGACTACTCAGCGGTCGTCACAGGGTTACACCTTCAGCCTTGGCTCTGGCTCTGTTTCTTGGCGGTCTACACGCCCGTCTTCTGTTCTCAGCTCCAGTTGTGAGGCTGAGATCTACGCCACCGCCATGGCTGCACAGGAGCTACGCTAGCTCACCTACCTGCTGACTGACTTGGGTGAGCGGCCTCGTTCTCCTCCAGTGCTGTACGTTGACAACAAGGCGGCCATTGCCTTGTGTGAGGAGCACAGACTGGAGCACAGAACGAAGCACATTGCTCTGCGTTACTTCCTGGCTCGAGAGTTGCAGCAGCGAGGCCAGCTTCGTCTTCGCCACGTGGCCACTCGGGCCAACACTGCTGATACCGTATAACCCCGGATATAGGCGCATGTGCGCTTATAATAAAACCGGTTTTTTTAGGGGGGGGCGCTTGTAATTGAGTCACGGCCATAAGCGCCGGCGCTTATATAATGACAAGTACAGATATACAACTTAAACGCATCAAAATGTACACATTTCAGTCTCGGTAGTTCAATCGAGTCGATATTTTAAAGCGTCCAGAATCTGAATCGCGTGAGGGCGATTCTCTGACGCTGCACAGTGCACAGAGATTTTGACACGTCAATTTGCCAGCTTGCCACCTCATCCTGACTGGACGCGAAAGCAGTCAGGACCGCGAAAGTCAAACAAACTGAAAATGGGTGCTGACTCGCTTGAAATTCAAAACTCGTTACCGCTTTAATCAGGATTGAAACATAATATTATGGATGCGCTTATAATAAATCAGGGTTTCACAGGGGGGGCGCTTATAATCGAGTTCCGGCCATAAGCGCCATGCTCCAGATAGAAGCGCCGGCGCCTTTAATTGGACGGCGCTTATATCCGGGGCGATACGGCTGATATATTCACCAAGGCACTTCCGTCTGGTGATCATCAGCGCTTTTGTACTCTGTTGGGCCTTGTGCCTACGTTTCCACACTTGTTGTAGTCTCTGCTTGTACTGTGATATATATATACACTTGCATGCTGGCTCTTGCTAGGTAGCCATCACTGTACTGTTATTGCTGCATGTGAACTTGCCTTGTGGCCCTTCTTGAACTTGTGCTCAGAATGTGTGGTGACGTTGTGATCCACCCTGAGCTTGTTTTGTTTCTCTTGACTGGTCGTGTGACCCCTTGTTCTCCCCCACTTTGCCTATGGGGGTGTGTCAAACTATATGTGCTGCATATTGTCTAGGCTGTAGTGGGGTAGCCCATATGGGGTACAACCCAATTAGGGTTTACTACTTGTACTCCTGCATCCTGCTAGTTCAATCATTCCTGCTGCTATATTCTGACACTTCTGGGCGTGCGAGGCTCCTGCCTAAGGCGGTGTGCAGCCTGCTAAGGGGTGGGGCGCGGCCTGCTAATGGGCGGGGCGTGCGCTGCTCGAGGGGAGGGGAGGGGAATGCATGCGCTGGCAGTGTGCGCGCTGCGACGTGCCAAGGCTAGTCGGGCTGCGTGACGGTCACGGGGCAGGCTAGGAACAAAGCGGGTCTAGGAACAGAGCGGGTCGCGAAGATACCATCTCAGAGATACGGTAGGAAATCGGAATGTATGGACTGTCAGAAATTGTATTTCTTTATATAACTGCATATTAGTATAGCTAGTGTAGTATGTATTCTCTTGTTGGTGGTATACCCCTCCTGACCACCTTCCCTAACCCTATATCATGTATCTCTCTCACTAGTCCAACCCCTTCCTTTGGCCAAACTTCTCTCCATCCAAACCCTAAGTTCCTAGCTCTCTAAGTCCCTAGTCCCTACCTTCTTAACATGCTATCAGAGCCACTACGGTCTTAGGACCTAATTTTCTGTAAGATATGGGCCCGCCTATGCTACAGCGCGAAAGGCGCCGCTTTCCGTCGTCGCGGCGCCCGGTTCCCGTCGCCGCGGCGCCCCGTGTTCCGTCGCCGCGGCGCCCTGCGTTCCGTCGTCGGGGCGCACCCCTTCCCGTCGTCCGCGAACCCCGTTTCGTCGCCTCGCGGCCCCCCGTTCCGTCGCCAGCGCCCGCGCCAGCCCGGACCGCAGGCGCCGCCGCCAGCGTGGCCCGTCAGCGCGGACGCCACCACCGCGGCCAGCCGCCACCGCCAGCGCCAGCAGCAGCTACCGCCAGCGCCAGCCGCCCGCGCCAGCGCCAGCAGCAGCTACCGCCAGCGCCAGCAGCAGCTACCGCCAGCGCCAGCAGCAGCTACCGCCAGCGCCAGCAGCAGCTACCGCCGCCCTGCCCCCTCCCGCCCGCCCTCCCTTCCACTGCTTCCGTCGTGGGGGGGGGGGGGAGGAGGGGGAGATGTGGGGGTGGCGGGTATGAGGTTGTGAGGAGCCAGCACCTCCTCCCTCCCTTCCCTCTTCCTCTCTCCCTGCAGCACTTGTTGCTGTAAGGGGGGGGGGGGGGGGGGGAGAGAGGGTAAGGGGGGAGGAGAGAGGTTAAGGGGGGATGAGAGAGGTTAAGGGGGGACAAAAGAGAGAGAGAGAGAAAAGGTCTCTTCTTTTCTGTTTTCTACTTTCGTAATGTTTTCTTGTCGTTCGTTCCTTTTCTCCGTCGTTTCTGGGCGTGGTCACCCAGAGTCGCGCACACCAGGCATCCACTGCGGGGGTTAAACCGCAGGCGGGAAACTCCATCGTGTGTTGTATCGGTGGGCCCAGCTGCGGCCCGGTGAAGTCTGCACTTAGGGTAGAGCGCCCCTCACTAGCTATGCTTGTATGCAGTTAAGGGGGGATGTCAGAAATTGTATTTCTTTATATAACTGCATATTAGTATAGCTAGTGTAGTATGTATTCTCTTGTTGGTGGTATACCCCTCCTGACCACCTTCCCTAACCCTATATCATGTATCTCTCTCACTAGTCCAACCCCTTCCTTTGGCCAAACTTCTCTCCATCCAAACCCTAAGTTCCTAGCTCTCTAAGTTCCTAGTCCCTACCTTCTTAACATGGACTAGTAGTAAGGTGATGGGTACAAATGGGAACGTCAAGAGAAAGATTTTGTACCCTATACTATTCTATATTCCTCATAGCCCAGCAAATATAACAGATATATAAACATAACTTTCAAGTTATACCAATGTATACAAATGCATTTCAACACTACTGTGTTGGAGTTGTACCATACATTGGGTTAAAAATAGGTTTACACCAATGAAATCGAAACCCAAGTACACACAGATATAATGGCGCTTAATTAGTAGGACGTTACGATGAACATGCACCGTTATTTTAGACCACTTTTCAAGGCCATTGCTGAAATTTGGTTTAGATGAATTGCATAATAGAATCTTAAGATACAATTACAAAACAAAATACGCCCGCTGTAGATACGCTAAAAAGCGAACTTATTCGGAAGTCCGAACTGACAATCACGTTGGTTGAGGGGGAAGCTCCACACAGCGGTGACGCGCTAGTTAGGGACGTCCTTACCACACCCATGTGTAACCTGCAGCCTTAGCAGCTGCCTCAGCCTGCTGAGCAGCGAGCGTGGCGTTGTACGCACGAGAAGCCATAAGATTCGCCGACGAGTCCGCGCTGATCTTATAGCTCACCGCCTTGCTCTGCGCAATCTTCGCGTTGCTCACATTCGCGGACTTCGCAGGAATGGACGCATTCGCGTAGCTCACGTCCGCCTGCGCCTGAACCACCGCAGCCTTGGCATCCTCAAGCGCCGCAACGGCTCCGTCCAGCTCAGACTTAGCGTCATCGATCACGCGCTGCTGCGCGGCAATGTCCTCCTGAACGCTCGCGGGGTCGTCCAGAGCCTTCTGCTTCTTAGCGAGAACAGCCTGTGCCCGTGCCGCCTGTTTAGTCATATCTGCCAGAAGTGCCTCCGCTTCAGCCTTCTGCGCTTTCGCCGTCTCCAGATCGTCCTGCGCGTCGGCCAGATCTGCGCCCGTGAGGGTCGGATCGGCAGCCCTCCGAGTCGCCTTGAAGACGTCGAATTTTAAGCTGGCGATAGCGGCCGTCTGGTCATCAATCATTTGTGCCGCCATGGCAACGCGTCGCTTCGCGTCCGACACACCCTGCTTCAGCGCCGCCTGGTCGCTGCTCTCTGCCACGATCTTATCGAGCCGCGCCTGCTGCTCCACCATTATATCCTGCAGCGACTGAATCGTCGCGGCCGTGTCGTTCACCGCCGCGATCTTGCTGGCGAGGACGAGCTTAAGACGGTTGACCAGCGGCACCGCGTCGCTGTACGCGGCGGTCGCGGCGGCGAGAGTGGCGTTCGCCGCGAGCAGCTCCTGCGCTCTCTGCGCCGCGGTCGCGTTGGCTTTGATCGAGTCGTTGGTGCAGTTGGCGGCGAACGCGCGCGCGGTACGAGCCTTGGTCACGAGGAACGGCTCCGTCTGCGCCGCCGAGTGGTTGACGGACGACAGGAGGCACGCGGCGACGATCGCGAGAACCAGCAAGAGAGTCTGACGCGTCGCCATGATTCGTTAATATGAATAAGACGTTGCTGGCTTTCCTCGGTTAATGGCAAACCAGTGCTAAGGATTGAAGGTAGAAAATGTGATGTCTCAGGTAACAAATATTGGTAGTGGTTGAACTGCTTGTGTTGCTTGTGATTCTCAGACGAAGTCGTATGGGATTATCTACACGGCGGATGAGAGGTAAGGCCAAGCGAGCATGTCTCTCAAAGTTCCTGAAGAGTGGAATGGAGACCGAGTGGGGGAGGGGGATGCGCGCCTCGGGATGCCCGGGGATCCGCAAGGATGCGCGATTTGCGTAGGACTGCACAGCGGTAGGTTGGCGTCTCATATCGCCGCGTCGCGCTAAGACATGTCGCGCACTGCTGAGTTTAGCAGATAAGTGCGGCGGATGGTGGATCGGCCCCGTCAGGGTGCTAAAGGAGAGATTTGTACCCATCTGGTGAAGCGCCGTTTTCCCCCCGGTCGCATTGCCCCGCCCACCAGAGCGCTCCTCATTTCCCGAAGGCAGGGAGGTAAGACAAGGCTTCCGCCTTGACCACGTAAATGTCGGGAAGGGTCATAGCCTAGCATTGCTGATTACCCAAGCGCAACTGGGTTCTGTGGGGTTAGCAATGTCTAGTTTCCAATGGCGGTTTGAGGAAATCTGGGCTGGGGACAAGGAGAAGCAGAGGCGCCAGTCTAGCGATTAGGGGGGCATGGTTCTTGTCGCACTGCCATATGGTGGAGGTGGGGACTTCTGCCCACTGGAGCGAGCGAGCGTGGAAGATGAGCGAAAGTGTGGTACAATGTGGTACAGCGGGTAACCCGTGAGAGTAGGCCCACCACCAACGCTCGGGAAACTCGGTGGGCGAAACGACGTGGGCTCTGTTCATTTCTGACTGGTGCCCAGGCGCGTGGGCTGTTGTCACTGTAAGGGCGCGTGTGATCCGTGAAATTCGTGAAAGTTTACATTTTTTGGGCGAGTTGTGCGAAGTGAACATAAGTCGAATCAATCTCGACTTCCTTTGTATCGGGGTTCGCACATCTGGACCACAACACTGCAGAAAAGCACACACACATACAAGGTCGAGTGCGTGTATTCAAACTTGTAAAATCGCACCGAGCCGCATTTCTACAACGTAGGTTACCCGGTTCAGACTTCTTGAGAGAGCGCCACGCGGCCAACGTGCGCCTCGGTTTCGGATAGCCTAGACCTCCAGCTCACCTTCAACACTGGGGTACAAATATCAGAGGTTGCCCACCTGGAGCTCTCGTCATTCCCCAACAAGACGATTCTCGCCACGTGGCCTCTATTCAGTACACGAAGGCTGTGGTGAGTTCGTTGTGCCACTGTTGCTACTCGTGAGTCGCTCGCACATTTCGCCCGATGACTGAACGTGCGGGAAATCACACACGTGAATGTGAACATGCCGAAGCACGTTCACAACTAAAACTCGAGTCTTGTTCAAGTTTGCAGTTCGCATGTTGCCAAACCCAAAGTTGACGAATTTTCGCTAATAGCTCCATGCGATATTGGCGAAACGGGTAACCACCCAAAGTTCGCACTTTATTTTGAACTTCAAAACCGACCTCACACGCCCTAAACGTGTACTTCGTGTACTGGTTGAAGCTCGTGACAACCCAGGGTATGGGGGGTACCCACAGCGGTTCCATCCTACATACAATCGGGGCTTCGACAAAAGTATGACGACATGGATCAGTGGGGTGGAGATTTTTCTTATACTTTCTCAATACTCCATATTACAATGTGGTGTTGTTTCTGCTAGCATTACAGAGTCCTTGGTAAATAGAATAATTCTAAAATAAAGGACAATAAAAAATCCACCAGTCCTTGTGTGTGTGTTTATGTTGTTATTTCCGGTCTTTGTTGTTTTTGTGTTATCTTTGATATAGGTATCTGTCTTGATGAATATCCCCTTTTGGAAGGTGTTTCTATATCCTGTATATTTGACATGACAAATCTTTCTGAACGCACTCTTCCGTTTGGATCAGGTGCACTGACCCCATCATGGTGCACAGGCATTCCCCAACTGCACACGCACCAGCAACTGCATCCAAACCTCCTCGCGTCACCGCCGCGAGAAGCTGACGGAGCTATGTTTTGCGACGAATAGCGGCAACCCCAAACCGAACAAAGGCCGACGCCACAGCTTCCCCTTGCGAATCACGAGCAGAAAACAAATTCCCGCCTACAGTACGCAGTCCCGGAGTTCCCTGCGATACCCTGGCCAGCCAGGACACTAGCTCAGGACAGCGATCGAGCTTGCGCTTCAGGAATCTGGTGGAAAATTTTCACGCGCCTGCCAGACTTCGAGAGTCAACCCTGACACGGAAGTGGGAAAAAACGCTCGCAACACCGAGGTATCCCGCCACAGTGCGCTACTCCGCACACCCAAATGTCCTGTCAACTCAATCGGAATAGGGTTCCCGTGTTGCACCAATTTTCCTACCAGTGTTAACGAGATTCCTACTAGTACTTAAGATGTGAATGGATCCCGAATATGGGGGGAAACCCAGATCACCATCCCATGTCGTTCAGGGCGGAAAGTCGGAGACAAACTTGGAATTCTCACACAGAACGCCTAGTTCAAGAACAGGCAGGCAGTATTTGCCGAAGCGGAGAAAAGGTCCGTCCGTGCCCGTCCGTCCCTGAGAGATGACGAAATCAGCCGGACAAAAACTATTTCTTCCAGGTGGTATTTACCCTGTCAGTGAGGCCTCCGAAACCCACGGAAGCTCTCGCCTTCTCCTGTGTTGTCGGAGCAGCTTAGGGCGGAGTCAGGTTGCACATTTTCTCACGCGTTAACACTTCTTATATCGTGGTCAAGGACGGTCCAATACGGTGAGAAGCGGTTCTTGACGTTAACCGCTCTGAACCGTTTTGAAACAAAGTTAACCACAGTAGGCGTACAAATCGTTGTAGGGAAATTACATAGTTAGTCACAATTAGGCCCGGTTTATCACGTTTGTCCCCAGGGGTATCACGAACAGTCACAGTACACTTCGTAACTATCACGTGTGATCACAGTGCTATCACGGATAGTCACAGCTTGCCCCACAAGTCTATCACGTTTGGTCACAGATGAAATGCCCAATTAATTAATGTAACTACTAAAGTAACTGTTGGGAGACAGGGGAAATTTATATAGCGCGCGCTGTTTTGTCCGTAGTGTTGCGAGACGCCGTTAGTTACGAAATATTTTCGCGACCACTGTCGTCAACTCGCAAAAACCATTGGTAACATCGGAAAACTAGCTCGTTGCGCATTGTTCACGGTTGGATTGTCCACCGTTCGATTTGTGCATAATGACCCTAAGAATATTACTTTTAGGCGGGTGAAACTTGAAGGTATTTTTCCTTCCCAAGAAAAAACTAAAACCCGTTCGGATGGGATTTCCTTCTGGAGGCATCAACCCTAAATACCTTGTCGCAAGGTGTTTAGGGTTGATGCCTCCCGAAGGGTGTGCCATCCTTTGGGGTTTAGTTTTTTCTTCAGTCCCCTAAATGTCAGACTAGAATCATGCGCGAGGGTAACCAGCAATCGAGATTGGGATTCCCCCAAATCTCTACAGTTTCTTTTGTGGTTTCAAATAAATTATACTCGTTACATCGAGTGACCAAACGTGATAGCTTTTCGGGGCAAGGTGTGACCATCCGTGATAGCACTGTGATCACCCGCGATAGAAATCTACTGTACTGTGACTGTTTGTGATACCCCTGTGACCAAACGTGATAAAACGGGGAAAATTGTGACTTCCCGTATAATTTCCCAATAGTTGTACAGCCTGACTCCGCCCTTAGGTTTGGGTTGGGTGCTGCTGGTTCTTATGTGGGCACCCCGAGCAGCACCCAGGCTGCAGCTAGGACAGGATTCTATAGGTGAAGCTTAGGTTCTAATCTAGGTGAAGCTTAGAATTAGCAAAGGCCTCTGGTTTTAGAGTCTAGGCTAGGAGGAGAATATTGCCGTTCGTCTCGTTTTTCTTCTTTGCCACTGCTGAAGTAAACATTTAATTCGTTGTTAGTAGTAAAGGCATCTCAAGGACAGGGGGACAGCTTGTTTTGGCTCGCGCTCAGTCGTCTGGAAAGCAAAGCGTAGGAACCAATAGTGGTAGTAACTTCCGCCGTAGGAGGCGCGGTCCCGGCGGATCCATCCAGTGAGTGTCGAAATTAAATTTGCTTCAAGAGAGAGGGGGGGCGAAGCAAGCGGCGGCACGACGAGCGCGACGAGCGATGTCGTCCGGAGCCATCGCGACGGACGCATCGGCGAATGGCGCGGCGGCGTCGCCGCCGCCGCAGAGCAACGGCAACACGGCGATGACGTACGCGTCGGTGATCTCGCTGCACCAACTCAACATCGCCGTGATCGCCGTTCTCGTGCTCCTCGTTCTCCTCGTGCTCGTCCTCTCCATCGCCAAGGCGCGCTCCACGTGGCTCCACCGCCGCGCCGTCTTGCGTCAGCAGGCGGAAAGCGCACAGAATCTTCGGCCGGTCGGGCAGCGCGGTCTGCTGGTTGACGACCGGCCAGGGAACGGTATTCCCGAGGAGTTGATTAAGCTGCTAGGGCAGGTGGTGGCGTTCGAGGCGGCGAAGGTTGGCGGGGAGTGCGAGAGCGAGCGCGAGTGCATCGTGTGCCTGGGGGAGTATAACGAGGGCGACATGGTGCGCGTGCTCGACGCGTGCCACCACATGTTCCACCAGGTGAGACGCGTGTCAGCACGTGTGTTAGTAGGTGAGACACGTGTTCCATCAGGTGCGATGCGTGTGCCTGCGTAAACAAAGGCGTAGCATGGATGAAGGTTGAAAGTGTAGTAGGAGCATGGATGAAGCCGAATGACAACCTTAGGGTTTGAGCGAACGAGTTGGAGCGGCACCGTCGGGCGGACGGTGTGAGGGAATGACGGAGGTGCAGCAGTAAGGGGCCCTAGGGCTCACAGCAAGGGGCGTCGACAGGACCTGGCGCGTGGCCATCGCGGTCCAGCGTGATGGACGGCGGCATATGCGCCGAATTTGCTGCTACTTTGCACGTCATTCCCTTCGAGATTCCCTTCGTCTTCCAGATCGCCGCCTCATTCCCCCTTTCCCTCCTCTCCCCGTTTCCCCCCACTCCCCCGTCCTCCCTCCTCGTCCCTCCTCTTCTCCCCCTTTTCCTGTGCCCCGTGCCCACCGTGTTCCCCCTTGCCTTGCCGCCCACGCCCGTTGTTCTGTGCAGGACTGCATAGACGCGTGGCTCAAGGCCCACAACTCGTGCCCCATCTGCCGCACCGTGCTGCTGCCCGCACGCCCGTCTCACACTGCTGCCGGGGCGGACGCGGGGCAGCATTTGCACGGCCACCACCACCACAGCCACCACCACCACATGCACCACCACCACCCCCACCACCCCCACCACCACCACCACCATGACCCCGACGCTCCTCTGGGCCATGCACACCCATCCCCGGACCAATCACACCCATTTACAGACCAATCGCGGTTATCTTTGGACCAATCAGGTCCCTTTCCTGGCGAATTAGGTCCATCCTTGGGCGAATCGGGAGTACCTTTGGGCCATTTGCATGTGGACACAGACCAATCACGTGCCGCTCACGGCCAGCAGCACGAAATGCAGGAGCAGAGCGGTTACCACAACAGCATCACTGCTGCGTCCCCTGCAAGTGCAGGCGCAGACCATGCTGCTCATTGTCTTGCAGGCGCGGAGGGAGAAGAGGCTTTAGGAGGTAGTGGAAGGGATTCTTTCGTGGCTGTACCGATTCATGACGCAGTGACTGGGGCCGAGGTCTCTTCTGCGTCAAAAGACTCGCTGGTGAAAGAGGGGATGGAGTGTAGAGAAGGCGGGCATGTGGGTGTGGAGATAGTGGATGCAACACAAGGCAGCTGTTGTGCTGCTGTAAATGGGAGCACACCTCATGATGACCATGTGGGGGAGCGTGGAGGGTGCGGTGTAGAACCCACACATTTGCATGTAGCAATGCAAGTTTGAAGGGCGGTGTGCCCTTCTAGCCAAACTGTAGGCATCCTGCTGGCAATCAATGCTGACACATTATGGGCATTAGTGTGTACAGTTGTGTTTATATCCCGAATATGTATCTCACACTAAGAGCCATTTTTTTGAGTTGCGAAGCAACGATCGATTTTGACAAATTTTATTTTCATATTTATGTTTTTTTATAAAACATGAAAATAAAATTCATAAGCTACAGTACTACCCTCTCCACTGTGTATGCTTTTTTATTACGGTACAGTTCTAGCAGTTTTGTGCACATATACCGCATTTGTTTTATATATTTTACTGTTTTATGTTGTGACATTTGTATGTAATAAATTTTAAAGATATTAGTAATGAATTTCACACCACGCATGCTTTAATGAATGTAATGAGACAAAATGTATAGATGCATAATACCGATACATGGATGAAAATGCTTATGTATGCACGTGAAATGCTGAAATGCAACATACCTTATATCATACAAATGCGTGATAGTTAACGACCCAAAAACTAGGCTACCGCATCCCCTGCCTAGCATGGGGGGGAAGTCAATAGCAAAGTTTTTGAATAATCAACTAGCACATGAAACAATACAATCTGTTAACTCTAAAAAAGAGGTTCACTCTATCAAATCCAGTTCGAAGTGGCAAACACACGAGTCACTGAGTGCGCCAATGAACCAATGAGAAATGATAGAAATGAACCCCCTTTTTAAAATTGACAGACATGCATTGATATTGCTATGCATAATTTACACACCCATATATACACGCATACGCATACATACACACAAATACACACACATATACAACCACTTACACAAAACCAGACGCATTCGCACAATCACGCAAGCATTAGCAATGCAGTCGACGAAACAAAGTATTAGAAAAAAAACCCAAAGCAAAAGAAGTTTTGTCTAGTCAATCCCACCCCCATGTTTGCTTAATTGAAATGTCTTTCGTGCAATGAAATAAACAAAACACATCTCAATCGGTTCCACGGAACTTGGACTTCACAGCCGCTGCAAGGAAAAAAAAAAAATCAAACGTAAGTTGAAAACGCAGTAATAAGTCATATAATATTGAAACAGTCAAATTAATCATTTAAGATTATCAATACACGCACGTCAAACCTCCTCTTCGTAGGTGTTGAAGATGGTTGTGTGCTCGACGTGTCAAAGCTGACGGGAGTCGCACTTGACTGCGTGGCGCTCACATCAAGTATGGTCTTGATGACGCGCCCCTCCTCAAGACCAAAGTGAATCTGCTCATAGAATGGCAAGGAGAAGGAAATAAGTGAAGCAAGGAATGAGAGAAAAGGACAGAAAGGGAGATTAGAGAAGGAAGAAAAGATGAAATAGGAAGAACTGACATAAGGAAAAGAGGGAACGAGGGAACGAGGGAAAGAATGAAAGGAAGAAGTCATGTTGAAAGAAATGAAGGTATACATGAAATGAGAACGATGTATAACCGGTTTCATCTCAAAGATAAGGTTTTGAAAAGCATAGATAATAAAAAAAGTGTTGGTATATAACATACTCGCTGTATGTGTGATACGCTTATCTACCTTGAAGGCCCAATCCACGTACCTTTACGAGCCAACGACCTCGAAGAGCGGCCAACATGCGTTGGCGCTCATCCAAGGGCAAAGAGAGAAAGGTGGACATCTGAAGATGCGGAACCACCTTGGTCAAAATGCTCGGCTGAATCACCAAGCCATGCGCCTGAGCCGTGTATGACACTGGAAAAATAGGAAGACATAATAGCAAACTTTATTGCAATAATACAACATGCAACATTGTAACAAAATATATGCACACGGTACTTACCGCTCTCTTGTACGACAAGCGTGACGGTGACGTCGTCGATCTGGGTGATCGACGAGGATCCATGCTCGTCGCATTCGTACTCGCGCGAGAGACATGATCGGAAAACAGGCAGTGGACAGATAGAGTCCTCCGGACCACCCTTGCACACTCTGCGAGAGTTGTGCAAAGGATCATTGATTTCAGTCACGAGGGACGCTATCTTCTCCTCTTTTGTTGTCATCACGAGTGTGTCCACACTACTCATCCTGAATATAAAAAACATGAACAATCTTAACAATCGTCTTACTTATATACTGTTAATATGCGCTAGTATATCCACTTACAGCTGCACGAGGCCGACGTCTTGTGGTTCCTCTGTGACGTGAGGATCTGTGATCTCCAACGCTCGTCGAGAGTCAAGAATGACAGCGCTGGAAAGCATTGTTGTCGTAAACAATGCGTTCTTTATATAGACGTTGGTAATGTAAACTGGCACGTCTGTTGCATCACTGTGCTCTTCCAAATATGTCTTACAGCACTGGTGAATCCGTGTGGCAGCGTCCCCCAAAGATACCAGGACGCTGCGAAGTGACGAATCGTGGATGCTAGCTGTGAGCTTAGGCCATCCACCCGGCCACTCAAGCGTAGGGGCACTGAGCCTGACAGAAATGCAAGGGATCTGGGAATGTAGAAAAGTGAAGTATAACATTACGAATATGAAAGAACTCAATAAGTGGTGATATGACAAATTATCATCTGCAATGTAAGAACATCAACCAAACCAGATGAGCCAAAACCATACAGAAATTATGCTAAGCAGTAAGTATCAAACGATTTTCAGTTGGAATAATGAAGAAGTGGCAGTACGGTTTGAAGAAAAATACACATTTCCAAGATGAACACAACCAATTCGTTCAATGTAATAATTTTGTTCTTACCCTGGAGTCGTCTCTCGGCCCAAAAAAACTCCCAAGCGTCGGAGTGGGCACGTCCCCCACGGTCAGCTGCAAGCCTCCCCTATCCTCCACCATGTATGAACAGCGGTGTAACCAGAGCAGCTGCAAATCAAGGCCTCCAATAACCGACCTGTACAAAATCAGATGTATTAATAAGACCATCTAAGTGTAGACATGCATATGCTCAAGTGTTGACTAAACGTACCAGCTAGGGTGTGCGCGCAAAGCATTGACCCGGCGAACTCGATAGACTTCCCCAATAGAAATCCCCATCAAGAACTCGTTCACTACTCGCACATCGCATGGGATCAATCCTGTGGTCTCAGGCCACAAGACCATCTCGCTGGTAGAACGCTCCACATCAAAGAGGAGAACCTTTCCTGGCGAAATCTTTCCGTTGCTCTTGACGAATGAGTTCTTGGTCGACATCACCATCGCCTTGAAATGGTAATCAGAGGGCCTCTCCTCTCCAGGATCTCCCAACCAAGACTCCATGAACTTGAACGTAACTTCAGCAGTGGCCTGCAAGTATAGCATTGTACTAGTGAATTGTAAACCAAGGTGGAAAATGATTATGTGCGTTTTAGCATGTGTTACGTTTATTTCCAAGTACACAAATCAAACCGAGACTTGCCTGGGTACGGTTGTGCGGGCGGGGAAATGGTCCTGCTCTCAAAACCACATGGAATTTGGGACGTAAAAGAATAATACTGCAATCGTTGATATACGTACGTGCCATTTTGAAAGTGCATCAATCAATGAGAACATAAATAGGAAAGTGGTCGGAAAAATAGGTTTCACCAACATAGACTTTAATATTAGTCTTGAAGCAATTTGCCCATACATGATCAATAAGTGTATTATTCACTGTAGTTGGTTCAACAATGAATTGAGAAAAACCATGCCGTTTGAAGAAATGATCATATCGCCGTTGTGGATTAGCAATCAAATCAATATTGAAATCGCCGATGAATATCATGTCATCATGCGGGTATTTAGTCATGATGGATAGGATCATATCAAAGAGGATCTGATGATTACGATTATCAGTTGGGTTGCGATAACAGCAAACAATCAAAAGGCGTTGGTCTCTCACATCGATACTAAAAGTCAAGAGTTCAACTTTGGACCTTTCTTGGCACTGTATTGTTCGGATTGGAATTCGATGATACAGTACAATTCCGCCGGTTTTGCAATCCGCACGAAAAACATCGAAGAATTGATCTGTTTCGCTCGGTAGCGAGTCGTCTGAGCTCAAATGTGTCTCAAAAAGAACCACAAAATCGAAATCACAAAGACTGTTGATACTCACATCCTTGTAATGTCCTCGATAACTTCTTACGTTTTGAAAAACGAATTTCACGCACGCGGGTTGTTTTGAGATTACTTCGACCGATGGCGGACTCAAAACGAGAGGTCGCTCACGTAAACGACGCATTTCCGCTACAACGCGAGAATCAGTTTTTATGCACGATTCTGAAAAATTCGTTAAAAATAGTTGGTTGGGACTGCGAAAACGACTTAGAGCAACGTAAGCGCCTTGAGGAAATACCTTCTTCTCGAAATGCACAACTCGACTATCAAAAGTAGCACCCTGGCTTCGATGGAAACTTATCGCATTGCTCGGTCGTAACGGAAACTGCATCCGAGATATCATATCGTATCGAGAGTTTACAGAAAATGACTTCTCGATACGTTGTATAGGCGTCCATGTATGTTGAACTCCAACCGTTTTGGAGAAAAGTGACGTAGATTTAGTACGGGTGTTACGCCCGACTTCTACTTCATCGAATTGTACCCATATCGTCTCCACCACACGCTGCTCATTTAAAGTGAAATGAACAACTCTGCCAGGAGTGCCATTGGCAAGCCCATCCGATGTATTTACGTTACAAGTTATATGGATACGCGAACCGATAAATAATTCCAGAAAAGCTAACAATCCATGCGATGAAGTTGTTGCAAACCCAGGTGGTGTGATCGGTTTAGACTTCCTTGATTGATCCTTCCCAAACAATGCACAATCCAATGCTGGAATTGCATACTTTTCTTCCGACGATGACGAGTACACTTCGTGATTAAACAAGTCAATGGCTTTATTGGTGCAACACAAATGTTGCAACTCAATTCCTGTTGGGTAAGTTTCAATCTGACGATCATGTAACAATTGAACGTCCATCCGGGTTTGATTGCCTTCGCGTAGCCGATTCAACAATTCGGCAAATCTA